AGACGAGCCTTTATTTTCTTTTTGCTCAGCAGCGGTTTTCGTCTTGGAACTCTGTCATGCAGACCATTTTTGCCCAGTCTCTTTGTTATGGTGGAGTCATGAACACTGACCTTAACTGAAGTGAGGCCTGCAGTTCTTTGGATGTTGTTGTGGGGTCTTTTGTGACCTTTTGGATGAGTCGTCGCTGTGCTCTTGGGGTAGTTTTGGTCGGCCGGCCACTCCTGGGAAGGTTCTCCACTGTTCCATGTTTTTGCTTTTTGTGAATAATGGCTCTCACTGTGGTTTGCTGGAGTCCCAAAGCTTTAGAAATGGCTTTATAACCTTTTCCAGACTGATAAATCTCAATTACTTTCTTTCTCATTTGTTTCTGAATTTCTTTGGATCTCGGCATGATGTCTAGCTTTTGAGGATCTTTTGGTCTACTTCACTTTGTCAGGCAGGTCCTATTTAAGAGATTTCTTGATTGCGAACAGGTGTGGCAGTAATCAGGCCTGGGTGTGGCTAGAGAAATTTAACTCAGGTGTGATAAACCACAGTTTTAACAGGGGGGCAAACACTTCTTCACACAGGGCCATGTAGTTTTGGATTTTGTTTTCCCTTAATAATAAAAACCTTCATTTAAAAACTGCATGTTGTGTTTACTTGTGTTATCTCTGACTAATATTTAAATTAGTTTGATGATCTGAAACAAACCTGCAAAAAAATAAGAAATCAGGAAGGGGGCCGTACATATACACACATATACATATAGTCGATAGTGTTTAAATTTGAGGATAGGCCTATAATATAATATTTCAAGTTGAAGAGTTTCAGAAACATACAAAGGAAATCAAGTGCGAATCAGGTACAGAAGATCATTTTAATGCAGTTGTTTACCAAAATTGCAAATTCTGACTATTTATTCACCCTCATGTAGTTTACATCTTGTATGCTGTCATGTTTCTGTGGAACACAGATAAAAAAAAGACAATGAAAACAACAAAAGTACCATACAAGAAGTCCATTTGACAGTACATTTGAAGTCTTCTGATGCCTAACTGAGGAATAGACTGAAATTAAAGTTATTACTGACAATCTTACCTTCCATCAAAACTAAAATAGTAATAATAGTTTGAGTTTGAAAGATAAAAAAAAAAACTGTAACCAAACAATATAACGGCATACAGATTTAAAACAACACGAGTGACAAAATAAAGACCACATTTTAATTTTTGAGTGAACTGTTCCTTTAAAGTCAGGACAGACTGCATACAATATTTAGCCATTTGGTAGTGAGCATTTATTGATTCTTATGCGGATACAGAAAGTCTTCTCTGAAAGGAGTCTCCAGACATTTGAGTTGAGAATATGGATTGCATCTAAGGAGATTTAATGCATTTCATTCAGAAACAAGATCAATGTCGCAGGAATCATTTGAATTCAAATGACTTTCAGCAACGCTGAAATCAAGGTCTGGCTGGTGCAGTTCATTCCTCGTCTTCATAGAGGGCTTCATCAATAAGAATATCATGTTCACCCACTGGGACTTCAGCACACAGCTGCTCTTTGAAAGCCAAGGCGATGGTGTAGGGCTTTCCTTTCGGGTGCGTCCTACAGCGCTCCAAATACGTGTCGTAGAAACCCTTTCCTCTGCCAAGCCGATTCCCCTTCTTATCAAATCCCAAACCAGGCATGAGGATAAGATCTAGTCCTCCTGTAACAAAATTAGAAAGGAAAGACAGTAATTAAATAAGATTATGTGGATTATGCAGATTTGCTTTTGGAGCTCAAATTACACCATTACAGCACAATACAGTGAATTTCTAGGTCTTAAGAACCAAACAACGTGCAGGGAAGCCAAACATGCCTCAACATGAAACTGGATTTTTAGCTATTCAGAATGTCATTTAAGAGCTATAAACACAGAGCATATGTGTGCTTAAAAAGATAATGCGTTTTATAAAAGAACATACTTCATCCACATTTTTAAAGATTTTTTCTGTTCATTTGCAAATATATTCTGGCTATTTACAATGGAAAAGATGCATCATGCATGCTTCTTAATTGACTGTTATTATAATCTATGCATGTCTATTTTTGAATTCCAGTAACTTCTTTCAGATGATAGTTGCAGACGTGTAAAGCAATGACAACTAGCCAATTAGTGGCTAATTATAAGTATTACACAATAGGTTTGAAGGTTAGCTGATTAACACAAGAACGTGGGAGTAAATACTCTGCAAAAGTATGTTGAAACAAATATCATTTAGATTAAAATGTAAATTCTGAACCAATCATTATTCTAAACGTGATTTCTTAGAGGAAGAAGGGAGCTTGTTTTGCAGTCCATGCATAGTTAACAAACTCTACTTTTGAGACACCGTAAATTATTATTTTTCAAAGTTTTTAAATAAAAATGACTATTACTGTACTATTTCAGTTTTTCTGATCTAAAATTTCACGTTTAATTCAATGTGTTATACTTGCCATTTCTTTGTATCTGTTTGTGAAATTTACTAACAATTTCTGATGAATTTCTAGATGACACTTTTTCAGTGAGGCTCATGAAATGTGATCTTAACAAATTGCTGTTAATTGCTTTTACACCCATTTGTACCCAAAAAGTTCAGTGCAATGGTTCACTCGTGAGTTTTAGAATTATGCTGATCCAGCCAACAAACAAAATCACTCTTTGGGCCGCATTCATTAAACAAATTAATGGGTAAATCCATACGCAAACTTTGAAACTGAATGCAAATACAGGTGCATCTCAATAAATTAGAAAGTCGTGGAAAAGTTCATTTATTTCAGTAATTCAACTCAAATTGTGAAACTCGTGTATTAAATAAATTCTATGCACACAGACTGAAGCAGTTTAAGTCTTTGGTTCTTTTAATTGGGATGATTTTGGCTCACATTTCACAAAAATCCACCAATTCACTATCTCAACAAATTAGAATACTTCATAAGACCATTAAAAAAACATTTTTAGTGAATTGTTGGCCTTCTGGAAAGTATGTTAATTTACTGTACATGTACTCAATACTTGGTTGGGCTTCCTTTTGCATGAATTACTGCATCAGTGCGGCGTGGCATGGAGACAATCAGCCTGTGGCATTGCTGAGGTGGTATGGAAGCCTAGATTGCGTTGATAGCGGCCTTCAGTTCATCTGCATTGTTGGGTCTGGTGTCACTCATCTTCCTCTTGACAATACCCCATAGATTCTCTATCGGGTTCAGGTCAGGCCAGTTTGCTCACCAATCAAGCACAGGAACACCATGGTCATTGAACCAGCTTTTGGTGCTTTTGGCAGTGTGGGCAGGTGCCAAGTCCTGCTGGAAAATGAAATCAGCATCTCCATAAAGCTTGTCAGCAGAAGGAAGCATGAAGTGCTCTAAAATGTCCTGGTAGATGGCTGCGTTGACTGTGGACTTCAGAAAACACAGTGGACCAAAGTCCTCTTTTCAGATCTGAAATAAATGAAGTTTTCCACGACATTCTAATTTATTGAGATGCACCTGTATTTACGAATGGACTCAAGCACTGCAAAATTGGTGTAATATTTACTTTAGCCAAATGTACACTGCAAAGGTGGCACAGAAGTGCTTCTGAAGCAGCATTTTGGTGTCTTACACACCGTTTAATGCTGCTCAGAGGTGGCATAAATGCATTTACACAACAATTACAACAGTATACTTTGATACTAGGGCTGAGGTGGTTCTGAGAAGGCATAATTTAGTGTCTGGGCAATTTAGTTTATGTGGCATTGCATCTTTACACTGAATTTTGGGCAGGCAAAAAGCAGCCTTAACTCGCCTGTGTAAAGACACCTTTGTTAAACGATTTACATTTCTCACTCAGAAATTGCTAGTAAATTTCACAAATAATTACAAAAAAATTATTTAAAAAAATGGCACAATGATTTACACATGAGATTTTGATGTTAGAAAGACTGAAATAGTTTTTTCTTGTAAAACCTACTCCAATAATCTTTATTTACAACCTTGAAAAATTATTTTTACAGTGTAGCCAACAATTTAAGTTCTCAATTTGGGCCACAAGAAACACGAGTGGAACACGTTTGTAATAAACCCATTTGTGCGCAAACGGTTGAAACGCAAGCAGAACCAATTTATGTGCATCTCTTTCGGAAATCCATTAGTATGTAAACTATCACACTGAACTGCATTCAGCAAATTATGTATGAATGAATTTACTTCCTGCTTGTGATGAAAACAAACACTACATATTAATTCACACAGTGAACCTCATAAGACATGAGTAGAACACATTTTTGCATTAACTGTTCATTTTTACATAAATTGTTACGTTTAGTTCAATGTGACCGTTTACAAACACACAGATTTACGTTCTGCTGTTGTAGCCAGCAAACACTCTACATTTCTAATGAGCCTGAAGGGCCTCATTCATGAATAAATAATGATTTTTTTGCATTTCTGTGAATGCATTTGTACTTAAATTGTATTTCAGTTTATGCACAGATTCACATCGTTTACATTCACAAATGAGGTCCTTTGCATAAAATGGCCTTACAAATGTGCCGATTTTGAAGACAAACTATGAATGACAGTGGCCAGACAGTCTGATTTACTGGTTTACATGAAATCTGTGTTTCGAGTCTGAATTTTTAACACAAGAAAAACCATTAAATATTGATATCATGGGTGCAAACATCTCACAATCACAGTCTATTCCTGCACCGCTTGTTCAATATTTCACTGTCGGCTCTGTTCTAATAAGCCTGTCTTCAACATTTATTAATAATGCATCTACGCAGAACAGGAGTATTACATACACATTTTTCAACATGACAGGACTGTGTTAGGAAATCGTAAGGAGTCGCTTTAAATAAAAAAACAAGACGGTAAGATGACAGCACATTCTCAGAGCTTCTACTGTACAGTATACTTCAAAATGTTAATGTTTTGTTATTAAGGAGTCTGAACCAGTCAGACCATCTCCAATATAAACAAGACTACTTCTATTTAGAGTCCTACTCAAGCAATCACAGATCTTTTACTTTCATCAGTTCTGGAGAACGTCTTTCTCAGGCCTTCAGGCTGAATCTTAGCAACATCTGGGACCATCCAAGATCTCAAATCATTGTTTTGTCCCCAAATTGCTCAAAGTTTCAGTCTGAAAGTGGATCAGTCCTTTGCAGGATTTAAAAAAATAAATAAATCTTCTCATCTATTTATCTGCCGATCCCAGTTCACAATCCTCTGGTGTAAAAGGTGAAGTAAAAAGGATTAAGGAACACAGGATTATGCCGAAGGGGATTCCTCAGATTATTTTGTTACTGTAGATGAAGAGAAAACTTTTATGATTGCTTTAATTTTTTTTCAATGACAAACCCTGTCATATAATACTGCTAAAATGTGGAAAGATGGAGACAAATTGAGATTTCTGCTGTCATTTATTGGACTTTGTGTGTGTGTGTGTGTGTGTGTGTGTGTGTATATATATATATATATATATATATATATCTAATTTATTGAGATGCACCTGTATTTACGAATGGACTCAAGCACTGCAAAATTGGTGTAATATTTACTTTAGCCAAATTTACACTGCAAAGGTGGCACAGAAGTGCTTCTGAAGCAGCATTTTGGTGTCTTACACACCATTTAATGCTGCTCAGAGGTGGCATAAATGCATTTACACAACAATTACAACAGTATACTTTGATACTAGGGCTGAGGTGGTTCTGAGAAGGCATAATTTAGTGTCTGGGCAATTTAGTTTATGTGGCATTGCATCTTTACACTGAATTTTGGGCAGGCAAAAAGCAGCCTTAACTCGCCTGTGTAAAGACACCTTTGTTAAACGATTTACATTTCTCACTCAGAAATTGCTAGTAAATTTCACAAATAATTACAAAAAAATTATTTAAAAAAATGGCACAATGATTTACACATGAGATTTTGATGTTAGAAAGACTGAAATAGTTTTTTCTTGTAAAACCTACTCCAATAATCTTTATTTACAACCTTGAAAAATTATTTTTACAGTGTAGCCAACAATTTAAGTTCTCAATTTGGGCCACAAGAAACACGAGTGGAACACGTTTGTAATAAACCCATTTGTGCGCAAACGGTTGAAACGCAAGCAGAACCAATTTATGTGCATCTCTTTCGGAAATCCATTAGTATGTAAACTATCACACTGAACTGCATTCAGCAAATTATGTATGAATGAATTTACTTCCTGCTTGTGATGAAAACAAACACTACATATTAATTCACACAGTGAACCTCATAAGACATGAGTAGAACACATTTTTGCATTAACTGTTCATTTTTACATAAATTGTTACGTTTAGTTCAATGTGACCGTTTACAAACACACAGATTTACGTTCTGCTGTTGTAGCCAGCAAACACTCTACATTTCTAATGAGCCTGAAGGGCCTCATTCATGAATAAATAATGATTTTTTTGCATTTCTGTGAATGCATTTGTACTTAAATTGTATTTCAGTTTATGCACAGATTCACATCGTTTACATTCACAAATGAGGTCCTTTGCATAAAATGGCCTTACAAATGTGCCGATTTTGAAGACAAACTATGAATGACAGTGGCCAGACAGTCTGATTTACTGGTTTACATGAAATCTGTGTTTCGAGTCTGAATTTTTAACACAAGAAAAACCATTAAATATTGATATCATGGGTGCAAACATCTCACAATCA